AAAGGAATCCCTAGAACCACTCCCAGTACACTCCTAGGTTTGGCGGAATGAATTAGTCAGTCTTCTATTGTTCAGGGCAGTGTTTCCCAACTATTGTTATGTCCTGGCTTTTGCAGAAAGCAGCATCCGTATGGGGTGTGGCTAGGAGAGCTGGCCGCAAGGGCTTCAGCTTCTCTCCCACCCCACCCCATGGGCCACACAGAGCTCTGTCTCAGCAAGCTTGTACCCACTCATGGCAGTGTGGCCATTGGGAAGCTCTGCTTTGGGGAAGAATTTTTCAGCTGGAGTCAGTGTGTGCTGCCAAGGGTCCAAGGAGAGAGGTGCAGCAAGCCCTTCCAGGGTCAGCGCAGTTCCTAAGAAACAGAAGTAAAAGACTTCTAGAATTCAGGGCTGAGACAGATTTACAAGTAGAATTGACTTTGTCCATCCCTCTCACCCCTGTCTTTACATAGAAGTGTAAAGGACTTGTCTAAGGTACTAGTTCATTTATTCCATTTACCAAGTACAAGTGTGCACAGCTGTGTGAGGTGCCCCTCTACAGTGCTGCCATGGCCAGAGTGTGATCACATCCTGGCACCCCAGTCTGTGATCCGAACATATGGAAACGGAGGGTAGCCCTGGTGTGTTTTGTTCAGTGGTTAGAATCTTGGCCTGAGGACTGAAGGGTCATGGGCTTAATTCCCAGTCAAGGGCAAGGGAAAGTACATTGGCTGCAGGTTTCCTAGCCCCTGCAGGGGCACATGTTAAGGGTGTGTGTGTGTGAGGCAACCAATCCATGTGCCTCTCCCATTGATGGTCGATGTTTCTCTCTCTCTCTCTCTCTCTCTCTCTCTCTCTCTCTCTCTCTCTCTCTCTCTCTCTCTCTCTTTCTCTCTCTCCTCTCTCCTCACTCCCTTCCACTCTCTCTAAAAATCAATGGGAAAAAGTATCTTCGGATGAGGATTAAAAAGAAAAGAAAAAAAACGGAGGGCAGGCCACTTTTATAACAATTTGATATCTAAGCATGTGATTATTGGGCTTGCAATTTCTATTTCTGTCTTTTTGAAAAAAGTAATTTCTTTTCTTTTCTTTTTTTTCTTCCCCCCCCCCCCCCCCCCCCCCCCCTAACCAAAGTACTAGCTCAAGATGGATTGAGGACCAAAATAACAACAGCAATGCTTCCTTGGCTAGAGCATTTGCGTCAGGGAGTAATTCAGTCATGTGACCGCCAGGGCTGCCTGTCTCCTCTCATTTCCTTCTGATCTCTTTCCTGTCAGAACCCCTAAGATGGTCTCAGAGGTTTCAGGACCCTGTTTCATTCTCTAACCTCTGATCTGACATGAAAAGATGTTCTGTATTGTGGCATTTAGCCTTTTGCTTTTCTGTAAGTACATTCCCTTGTTGATGTCCCTCTTGTTTTGCCATCCCATTTCCCTTTCTTTGACTTTCAAAGGCTTGACGTCTTTCTCTCTCACACTAGTTTTCCAGGTATTCTCTGCCTCTGACCTTTATCTCTGTGTCCTTCTCCTGCCTCTGCCCATTGAGTTCCCTCTGGGCGGGTTTGTGCTGGACCCAGTGGCTGGGGGTGCAGGACTTCACTACATCCTCGGTTCTTCTCTTCACAGACAAGGGCGCGCTGTGTGACACAGTGACCCAGCATCCCCTGGACCAGACAGTGGCAAGTGGCAGTGAGGTGACACTGCTCTGTACTTATGACACCCAGTACTTAAATCCAGATTTATACTGGTACCGAAGAAGGCCAGACCATTCCTTTCAGTTTATCCTTTACAGGGATAACAGACTGGCCTATGATGCGGATTTTACTCAGGGTCGGTTTTCTGTGCAGCACAGTGACACCCACCAAACCTTCCATTTGGTGATCTCTCCGGTGAGGATAGAAGACAGAGCCACTTACTACTGTGCCATGAGCCCACCACGGTGATGCAGGTGCCCAGGAAGTCTGTGCACAAACCCAGCACAGCCTGCCTTTCAGAGCAGCTCACATCCTTGGACATGGAACTTCTTCCTAGTCACGTGTGTGCCAACCTGCCCTCTCTGCTGAATAATAAAATGCCTGTCCCATTCAGGGAGCATACTGGCTTCAGATGGAGCAGAGAATCTCCCATTTCTGACTCGGTGTCCCCCTGCTACTTGAGCATCTTCTGTAGGGAAAAGTGAACTGAATGTCTGAGCGATTGTCATCTTTGTGTCCCCAGCATCCAGGTCATCCTGATAAAGAGTGGGCATGACAAGTATGTGCTGCCTATGCTGTGAGGGTATCAGCATGATACAAACAAAGGGAACCCATCAGAAGTGTTCTTATTTTAGCTGTTCTATTTTCTTTTTAAGATTTAAATTGGACTCAAAGTTATCTACTTAAACACATTTTCCCCAATTTACCATTTGTTCTGTGTCTTCTAGTGCAGCCACTTTGTTCTTCCTGGATGCCTGTTGACACCTCCAGTTCACTTACTTCATTTGGGGAACATTTTTTCTTTCACTGAAGAGCATTGAGATATTCCCAGAAACATGTCTGTGAATCCCAGAACTCTAGCTTGAAAGTCCAGAGTTTGGAGCTCAGAGGTGTCTCCAGGGAAGAGAATGACCTCCAGGGAAATGAACTCTGTGATGCCAAAATAGATACACCTTCAGCCTGGTAGTCGGTGTCCCCTTCCTCTACCTCCTCTGAATTTTCTGCTGTGACAACTAGTAGAGTTACTGTATGTAATCTTAGAAATAGTGGAAGTCTCAGACATTGTTTTATAGGAAGTACATGGAAGCCAAGAGAGATGAAGGGTGTTCCCAAGTTGGATCACTGGTTAACGACAGAGCCAGGGTGCTGTGCTGCCTCTCTAGGACTCTCTCTTGCGGCTGCAGCCTAGGAGGCTTTGTGGCTGATGGTTTGGGCAGCAGTTTAGCTAGGCTTTAAAACAGACAAGTGAAGAGCAGTCGCTGTAGAGAGGAAGGAAAAGAACAGAGTGAGGGAGCCAAAGGCCTTGGGCAAATGACTCAGCCTCTAGGACATCTGTTCTGCTGCCTACTGAGTGCATAACAGTCTCTCCCAGGGCTCTCGTGATGCTGCCTGTGAAACTATAATTCACAGTGTGATGGCCCCAGATCTGAAGGCAGCCACAGCCCCATCTGGCTCCTGCCTTCAATCTTTTCTGAAGGCTTCTGTTGGTGGAAGGAATTCATGGTCCTGTGATGTGCTAGGATGTCTTTTTCTGGTGATTAAAGTGGGCCAGAGGGTGGCTCATTCATATACCAAATAAAGGATAATCCTATATTTAGACAATCTGGTCTAGCTGAAACTTCAAATCGACACCTAGCTCTTGTTTGGGGGATGCAGTGTGCTCTTTTTGGAGATATATATATATATATATATATATATATATATATATATATATATATTCTTCTTCTTTTTTTTTTCCATTTGAAAAATGAAATGTGATATTTTGTTCTTAGTAACTTCAGAGAAACATTTTAATGTGACTCCAGGTAACAGATGTGAATGGTTTGGAAACAAGCATTCTTTACATATACAAGATGAAGTTGTGTGGCATCTTTTCATGGTTTTTACCTGGGTGGACCTGGTTTAGCCATTTAGATTGTCTCACCCCATTGACTCAGAGTGCTACTGCCTCCTTTCTTTGATTTGGGCAGCAAGGACGTGATGTGGGAGTTAGCTGATGGTGATGGCAAGGGAGTTGCTGGTGAGGGGTGCTCTTTCACTTGTAACCTCATAAACCACCACTCAACACCCACGTGAATGCTGAGGAAGCCACAATACTGGGTGCTAAGCTCTGCTACTTCAGTGTGTGCACCTGGAAACGACTGAGGCCTTGCTGAGACGGGAGTAGCACAGCTCATGGGCTATCCTGGGGACACTGCTTATATGAATTGCTGTAGCAGAAGCAGCAACAACAGGAAACCCAGGGCTGGGCCCCTGAAGCAGAAAGCCTGAAGGTTGGGGGCTCAGGAAGCTGGGGTTTGACCTATAAGCTTAGCCTGATTAACAGTGAATTCGTAGTGCCCTGTGGTAAATTTTTGCCTGTGGCGTCACAATAGGGTAAAGCCAGAGTTGAGGCACACACAATGCACTTTAATAAATACAAGAGACATGTCAGAGAAGAATGGCAGAAAGCCATCTATTCCAAGGGCCCAGGCCAGAGTCAGTGCCCAGTGACCTCCAAACTCTCCATGCAGAGACTGGCAGGCAAGAGATAATGGATATATGGTTTCTACAGGGAAAATCTAGGGCTCTCATTTCTATCCATCCCTCCAAAAATACCTACATTGTGAGCTGCTTGAAGGCAAGCCCCTATCTTATTCATCTTTGAACCCTCAGCACAGTGCCTGGAATTTTAGAGGGAGTCAATTCATGTTTGTTAAATCAATGAATAGAAAGAAGTGCACTTCTTCTGTCTTACTCTGATCTCTGTGAATGGCTTGGAGAGAATTTAGATGATATTAAAATACCCCCATTGCCTACACAGAGAGTGTTAGGGAGTCAAATGTAATTTTGTTTGTAAAGTAGTAGGAAGAGCAGAAAGTGGTTTTGTGGACCAGATGCCAGTTTAGGGCCGATCTATTGATGGATTGAGCAGAGCCTTTCATGTTAAGGTAAAGGACACCTGCCTCCTTCCCCCCAGAATCTGCTTTCCTCTTGGAGAACAGAGCTGGGAACCTGTTGGCTCCCACTTTCTAGTCCTGAAGGCAAAGAAAGTAAAAGGAACAAGATACCATTTTCAAAGTGTATCAATTGTAGAAATAAAAAATGAGTCCTCTGTCCCTTTTTATCTCTATATCCATTTATAAAGCAGCATATAAAGCACTCAGGATCATAACCCTACCCCCCAGGACTTTGTCTTTCCACCAGGCTGGAGGATGAGCTGGGTTTGTTGCCTTCAAAGAGAAACTTGTTTGGGAAGCAGCCATTTAAGCAAAGCTGGGACCAGTTAACTTCAATCACTGAGAAGTCAGAAGCCTTAGAAGCACTTCTGTAGGCTTTGGTTTCTTTCAGGAAGTGTAGCTGTCTCCTGCCTGTCAGCCTGCAAGTGAAGGAAAGTTGTCAGAGTTGATGTAGAGTCATAGACCGTAGGTGCTGGAAAGAATCATAGCCGTATATAGTCTGGGGATGGCCAGTATTGGTTGTGGCTGTGCCACTGCAGTCATCATTAATCAGTCATGGCTATTTCCCTTCTACACATGGCAATAGTTCATCTGTCACTATCAGTGTTGGCACAAATCATGAAACCCCATTTGCTCTTAGTCACTTTTAACTCTTTGTTTTACAGATGCAGAAACTCAGGCTGAGAGAAGTGAAGCCATCTGGCTAAGGTAACGTAGTGAGCTAGTGAAAAGTCAGGACTAAAACTCATATCTCTGACTCCTAGTGTACTACTCTTTTCATACAGTCATGTGGTCTGTGTCCTTGCTGTTGGTAAAACAGTCATCTGTTCAGGAATGACTGTGAATGCTTGCAGGCTGAGTGGGATCAGCCAAACACTCTAAGTCTAGGGTTGTTCCTAGACTGGGAGCTGAGACTGAGAAGTAGTTGAGGGTTTTGGAGAAGGAACTTTATAGGAAAACCTAGGCTCTGATTTGAATTTCATATCTAAGTTTACCTGATGAGGGAATGAAAGTGATGTCTGGTAAATAATTACTGTCTCAGCCTCGACTTAGTATGCATCCTGAGTAGCTAGTAGTGGGCTGTTCATGATTAATGGGGGTATAGGCTCACCTCAATGATGAGCTGGTCTATACATTTGAGTCCTATGATTAAGAATTGGGAGCTGACATACCCTTTGTCTGGGCAAAGACAAGTTCTGCTCCCCCTGAATATACTTTAGGTAGGCTTTACTGATCTCTTTGTAATTCACCAATGGTCCCATGGCCAAATAACAAAAATAGTCAAGTGAAGAAGACTAATTCTCCTTATTCAGCTCCAATTTTTAGCTCCTGCATTGGAACTGTGGGTTATTGACTGGTATTACATTATACTACACAATGGGTTTGAGTCTGGCTTGAAATAAAGGATAACAGGAAGTGGGGTATTGCTTTTTTAAAAAAAATATATTTTATTGATATTTTACAGAGAGGAAGGGAGAGAGATAGAGAGCTAGAAACGTCAATGAGAGAGAAACATCGACTAGCTGCCTCCTGCACCCCCACCATCGGGGATGTGCCCGCAACAATGTACATGCCCTTGACCGGAATTGAACCTGGGACCCTTCAGTCCCCAGACCAACGCTCTACCTCTGAGCCAAACCAGTTTCGGAGGAAGCGGGGTATTGTTATGCTGAGCATCTGAGGTAACTCCCCTCATTAATTTGAAATATGTGTCTATGTATTTTTCCCTTTCCAATACTTTTTGATCTCTTAACAATTTCTAAACTGCTATTTTCCCCATGCACAGCATAGTTCGGGTGGAGTTAGGAATAAGAAGCAGCTAATTCTTACCTTAACAGAAAAATAACTTGGCAGTAAAGAGAAAATTGACAGCAGCCATCTTGGCAAACAGCATTCGGAGCCCCAGCACTGTGAGGGACATCATGTTCACCTTCTCGGCATGAACTGTGGTTGAATAAGAGTGAAGATGGTGACTTCCTTGAGAGAATAAATTCCCTTCCAAGAATTGGGCCCACAACACTGACACCAGCCTGCCCCAAATCACCATTATTTTTTCTGGTCTGCAAGCCCAGCTTGGTGCCTCAGTGACCACAGGCTGCTGCTTACAACCAGCTCAGCAAGCTTTGGAAACCCATGCTTGCAGCCCAACCTCTGCTGGGAAAGTCAGAGGGAACCAACTGGGCTCAAATATGGTTTTTTTATTCTTTTGAAATCTGGTGATTTTTGGCTCCAGAGTTTGCTTTACCCCTCAGTTGTGAAGCTGGTCTTTTGATTTCAACTAACCTTTGGGTTTATGGCTGATCTTTGAAGTTTGCTGTATCTTTTCAGCTTCCATTGGTTTTAGATTATCTGGAACAAACAGAAGTGGTCAGGCTTACACTGGCAACCAAGAGGCTCAAAGGATTTTAGGTTTTAAAACTGGAGAAGATTTTAAGGAAGTTAACTGAGGACGAGAGGTGAGTCTTGGTTAAGGTCATACAACTATTTGCACAGCCAACATAACTACCAGTTAGGGCTTGCTATCATTACACCATGAAGCCAATATCCAGGAATGCGTCTAATTTGTAGGAAGAACTAGGATTCTTAACCTATGAGAGGCTAGGCTGCTTTTTGTCTCGGCCCTCACACTAGATTAGACTTCACTTGGATTTTTAACTCCAGAGTCTAATAGTAGGATAATCATTAATATAAAGGAGACAGTTGGTGAAGAAGAGAGATGGGGATGAAACAGATAAATTTTATCTTAGATTACAACTCAGAAATGGAGAAAGTTCAATTTCCCAGCCATGACAGGGTATAGTTGGGCCTATGTCTTGTTTCTAAAGTGACACTATGTTGAGAGTCATCTGTTAAGAATTTACATTTTCAACTTCCCTTTCCCCAACTTTTCTTCTCCACAATTCCAGACTCCAAAGCCAGATATGACATACCTGAAGAATTTACCATCTTTTCAAATTCAGTGGAGTACCAGGTTTCATGGTTGTGTTGAACTGAACATGTCACTGAATTAGAATCTTCATACTGACCAAGCTTGACAGCACTGTACTTCCCACTGGGAGAGACAACGATAGCAGGGTCAAATTCTACTATTTTCTTGGATGAGAGGAGATTTATAGTTACATTCCTCGGGTAGAAATCTTTCACCAGACAAGCAACATTGGTCCCATTTTTCATGATGAAAACAGATGGTTTGGCAGGAGGCTGACTTTCTGCAAATATAATCAATTTATTTCATGAGATGATTATCCACAATGTGTTAGAGTTTGCCTCAATTTCCCTGGTGCCAAACACTACAACCCACACTTCCCTTCATCCTGTTAGTAACATGGACTTGTTAACACCTCCATGAAAGAATGGCCAAGGGGAGTAAAAATGAAAGTCAGTCAGTTTAAATTCAAGTTGGAGCTGCTAAGAGATATGGCTAACTATTAAATAAAGCACTGGGAGGGACATCATGGTTGAATAAGAGTGAAGATGGCAACTTGATGGTGAACATGATGTCCCTCAAGATATGAAGCAGAGATGGAAAATAGCAACTACAAAAGTTTTTTTTGATCATCTGAGTTTCAATTATCTTCTGGACAATCAAGGTCAGGTTGACTACCTGTCCACATCAATTGGTTTATTTTAAATGCATGGGCCTTCAGAGGGAAATCAGGGCAGGTGTTGTGTTCATGCTTTGCATTATGTTGATTAAAAAATCAAGGATATGAGAAGGACTACATAACTGGTTCAAACACTTTGAGGATGCTAATGTTGGGATCACTTCAGGGTGTCACCTCCATTTTCCAGTCTGGAAGGGATCTACTGAAGTTAAGTGACACATCCCTCTATCTTTAGGTGAATACTTATTCTTTTGTAAGAGTCCACCCTATAATTTCCTTTCAGTCCATTGTCAGGAAGTCCTTATATACTGTATTTTCTGGCATATAAGACGACCGCCCTAATTTTACAGTTAAAACATAGGTTTAGACCTATATTCGCTGTATAAGACTACCCCCCCCACTTCCAAGGCAACACCAGTTCTTTTTTTAATAGACCACCTCTCTGACTCTGAGCAGGCTTTTTTTTGTTTGTTTGTTTCAAAAGTCGTCTTATACGCCAGAAAATACGGTATATAAAATCAGTTGGTTGAAGTCCATTGTTCTTGTTTTATTTTAAGTGGAGCTCTGGAAAGTTGGTCCCAATAACTGGGTCTCCTCCTACCCTTTTCTTCTGTCATGCCTCACCTTGATTTACCATCTGTCTGCTACTCTGTATGGGTATATTTTATCCCTCTTAAAACCAAAAGTCTTGTAGTAAAGATTCTTTTGCATTGTGTCTTACTGAAGTTTCTGAATTGTGATACATTTTTGTGTCCATGAAGACTTAAACTCTTAGGCTATCTTAAAATCAATGCTAAAGAAAGAGCTCCACAAATGCCTGAAATAAAAAAAAGATATCCAACCTCTGAATGATCTGGATAGTTATACCGGTTAATAATGAGGATTTTTTTCAATAGTTACATATACATTGATATATATGTGATTTGATATGTTGCTATTTTGTTGTATTGACAGTAAGCTTCAAAACTTCATATGTCAAATTTTCTGAAGGTGTTAACATCATAGATATTTTTATGCTTAAAAATGTTGAATTTTGTGCCAAGAAAGAGCATTTGTGGGAAGTTTTAATTCATTATTTTATTTTGAAGAAAAGTGCTGCTGAAAGTTATGGTATACTTTGGGAAGCTTATGGTGAACATCTCCCATCTCAAGATATTTGTGAACGCTGGTTTAAATCAGTAAAATGTTGCTTCAATGATCTGAAAGAAAGTCTTTTTTTGCATTGAATTGTGACTGGCAATGGAAAGTGGATTTTTTTTTGAGAATCTCAAACGCACAAAATCATGGGTTGATCCAGGTCAACCATCAATATTGACTGCAAGTCCAAATCGCTTAGGAAAGAATACAAAATGCTCTGCATTTGGTGAGATCAGGAATGTGTGGTATAGTATGAGCTTCTAAAACCAGGTGAAACCATCAATACTGATTGCTACTGAAAACAAATAATCAATTTGAACCAAGCTTTGATCATGAAATGACCAGAATATTCCAGAAGACAAGGCAAAGTAATTTTGCTTCATGATTACACACCATCACACACTTTAAAACCACTAAATGACACATTAAAAGATCTTGCCTGGGAAATATTAACCCACCCCTTGTATTCACCAGAACTTTCTCCTTCAGATTACCACACGCACTTTCTGAGCAGCACTTCAAAACGTACGAAGAAGTGGAAAATTGGGTCTCAGAATGGTTTGTCTCAAAACAAGAGAAGTTCTATTGGGACAGTATCCACAAGTTACCTGAAAGATGGGGGAAATGTATAGCTAGTGATGGACATTACTTTGAATAAGGCACTTTTGATGTTTCTCTTGAATTTGTCATATTTTCTTTGATTACAAAATCCACATTATTAACTGGTACACCTAAGCTTAATTGCTGACTTTCACTGTTACTACAATAGCTTATGTGAATATGGCCCTTAGTATACAAAATTTAGTTCAGTTTGGCTTCTTGGTATCAAATTAAGTAATGTTGAATACCAGTGTACTTTTATTTACTATGGTCTATAATCAAGACATAAGGTATTGCTAAACTAACATCTTGGTAATGAGTGTGTATATGGAATAATTTTTCTAGTGTTCTTATCTATCCTAACTCTGGATTTGGGGTTCAGCTGTGAAGCTCATGGTAGCAGAGCTATACCAAATCCATCAGTTATATCTGTTTGAGATGGAGTGGTTGCTTGTCAGGAAGTTCTTGCTGATCACCATTCTATAAATGGACCATGGCGAATCAGCTATTCAAAGAATTCTCTCTCCCCTTTACCTCTTCTGCTGGGAAGCTTAGCTAAAAGACTGGATTCTATCACAGTCACACTCAGGGCAGGAAACTTATTCCTAAAAATCTACCGTGTTTCCCCGAAAATAAGACATCCTCCGAAAATAAGACCTACTTACAGGTTTCCTTCTGAGTGAAATATAACAAATCCCCCGAAAATAAGGCCCCCCTAGGCTAAACATGAGAGATTTGGTCCACTGATTCTGAAAGAAATGTAGTCACAAGAAATTCACCAGGAAATTCAGGAATTGGATTGTTATGATGATGTTCCAGAAGATGATGACATGATTGTCATTGAATAAATGAGTAAATTCTTGATACTATAGGATTCATAGTTTGGTTTGTGTTGACTACTGTACTACCATACCGTATACAGGTAATAAATTTCCTTTATTTTCATTTAACAATAAATGTGTACCGTATTCTTCTTCATGAAAAAATAAGACATCCCCTGAAAATAAGACCTAGCGCATCTTTTGGAGCAAAAATTAATATAAGGCACTGTCTTATTTTCAGGGAAACAGGGTAGTTTCTTATATTTTTGGGCATTAACTCTAGACAAGAGAGGGTTTGGGGATTTTTCAAAGGGCTTTCCTGGAAAATGCTTTCAACCTACGTGAGAACCCAAGCCACTGATAACAGACACTGATAACCCGAGCAATAACGGCTTAGAAACCACATGCTCTGCTCATACTCCTCCCTCCAGAACTATGACATTTCTTGCTCCAGAACTATGACATTACTTATACTGACTTTGGTTTGAGATATATCCCAGTTGATTTTCAAGGGAGTTATGAGTTACAGAAAAAGGAAACTTGTCTATTAAAAAACAAGCCAAAAAAACCTCTATCTCCTTGGCTACTTAAGCTTATCATCCGATCCTAGTCTGATTTAGTTGGCTAATTAAGGCTTGCTTGGGATTTAAAAATTTACATTCAAAGGCAGTTGTCAATGATCACTTTGGGCTGAGAGACCTGGTATGAATAATTTGAACAATGTAATATAGTTGGCAACACAGGTATCTGAAGAAATTCATCCACTTTTAATATTGAGCTCTGAATTAGTTAGTCAGCATTTGAGATAGAGCACAGTGTACTGATTTGGTAAAACAATTTTCTCAGATGTATTATTAGTCAGTGTCTATTCAAAACAATTGTTTGAAAGGAAAGTGTTTTATCTAACTCATTCTTTGTTATCATGGTAACCGAAGAAAAGGCTATTTGATTAGGTTGAACTTTTTAAAAAAACGGAATGCATTAAATATGGTTACCATATGTGACTTGGTCTATTCTTATATTTAAACCAAAAACTTGGAATTGTATAAAATTTGCACTACTGTAGTCTAAAACTTAAAGATTTAATTAATTGCTTATCTTTTGAGAATTTACAGTTTTTCCCCTTGGTTCACAAATACAATTACATTTCAACATGTGTTTCAAAGTGTTATTTGTTTGAGTAATTGTTATCTTATTTTCAGACTTTCTCTTTTTATGAGTTCCAGTCCAATGCTAAGTAAACAATATGAAAAGAAGTGTATACCGTTCCTAAACAATATTGCTAAATTTTAAACTTAGAAATCATTTAGGTTTTATATTCACTTAGAGAGTCCTACTGGTTCCCTAAAAATTGCAACATCTATAACAATGTCACTCACAATTTCAAGGCGCTCTGCCAACATGAGAGTGAACTTGAGCACTAGAATATCAGTTTGCTCTACCTGATTATTCTCACCAGGTTAAACACATTTGTCCTACATCTTCCAAGATGCAGGACATTTGTTTTCAGGTCGTAATGAGGCAGGCACATGAGTCAGATTAACCAAAGGAATGTGTGTAAGGATAAAACAACTTCCGGGAGAATCTGGGCCCACGTTCTGCCTCTCCTACACTCAGCTGCTCCAACTATTATTATAAATCTTCCAGAATTCTTTGTGCTCTCTGGGCTGCTCTGGAGATTTCAGAAATAAGTGGGAGCTATGGTTTTAACATATGTTTCTAAAAAATAAAAGCAGTTACAGAGCTACTTCAGCGACTCAACCTAATGTCTCCATTCTGGCCCATTTCACATCTCCTAGGTATACTTTTTCAATTAATGCAAATCTGTTGGCAGCCCCTGTCTCTCAATTTATCCTGAGAAATACAAATACTCACGGGGTTCCACGAAGAGCTGGGTGCCAGTTCCAAAAAATATCTGTCGGGTGTCCCAGGAGCACATTGCGATGCTGCCTCACAGGTAACCAGCCTAGGGCTGGCCCTGGGGCCTGGGCTAGAACATCTGCATCCTGCCTTCCCAGCCTGCACCCAGCCAAGAGACCCCACAGCTCAGAGAACTACAAAGCTGCCCTTGATGAGCCCAGGGGGCCATGTGCACAAAATCTCAGTTTTCTTTGGGGCTAGTAATAATTGAACTGCTGGATAAGGATGTGAGCATGAAATCCCACCTGAGAAACACTGGGATAGGAGAATGCTGAAAGAGAGAAAGACAAGAGAGTGACAGGTGACCGATAGCTGCCTTCAAGATGGAAATGTATTCCTGGTTTATGGGGAGACCTGTCTAAGAAAAACACAATAGCTTGGGAGTATGGATGGCGCATCGAATGTTGACATTTCTTATAATGAATGTTAGAATGTGGAATGTTAGACATGAGTCTTGTTCTCATATTCTGGCTCCTTTCTCTTGGGTCACAAATGCTGCTTTTTTAAAATTTTATTAGAAACCTAATTTCTCCCCTATCACTCACACCAAATCTCACAATAAGAACAAATTTGCTTCCTAATTCCCTGAGTCCGGGGAAAGGCTTTCAAAGGACCTGAGGGTTGAACAAGAAATTGGCAGCTGCCAGAGGAGCCCAGCGGTACTGCCTGTTATGAATGCAGGTCGAAGAAACCAGTGCTTGCTCTGGATTGCTTGTTTTTGTTTTATAATTTCTCCTGACTCTGGGTCCAGATACGAGCTTCAGGAAGATATAGTAATCATGTGAAAATGAACTTAAACACCCTATGGATTTCTCCATCTCATCACCAAAAATCAAGTGTCTAGGGCTAGAGCCAAAGGGGCTGACAGTTGTATAGGTCCATCATTTGCTGTCAAAACTTTAAGGATTGGGGGTTTGATTTGAAGTTCCTACTCTCCCCACACGAGTTTCACATCTCATGTTATACTCCATCACTGCTAGAAGGGAAAACCAGAGAAGGAAATAGAGTATCATTAGAGAGCATGGTCAGCGCGTCTTGGCAGAGGGGTTAAGTATCAGTTTCATCTCTTATTTTCTAAAGCTCCCAAAGGTGCAGCCTCAGATATTTGATTTGAACAGTGCAGGTAATTATGAATTTCAAATGGAAATAATTTCCCCCCAATCTTCACCCAAGTATATTTTTCCATTGATTTTTAGAGAGAGAGTAGAAAGGAGTAGGGGGATACACACACACACACACACACACAGAAAAAGAGAGAGAGAGAGAGAGAGAGAGAGAGAGAGAGAGAGAGAGAGAGAGATATCAATGTGAGAGAGACATATAGATTGGCTGCCTCCCACATGAGCCCTGACCAGAGCTGGGGATCAAGCCTACAATTGAGGCATGTGCCCTTGACCAGAAGTGAAACTGGGACCCTTCAGTCTACAGGCAGATGCCTATTCACAGAGCCAAACCTGCTAGGACTCAAGTGGAAATGAGTTAAAGGGAAAATTAAACATAATACTTTTTACTCAGATGCAATTGACCAACATCAATCAAACTGCAATCAGCTACAACATAATTCTGTTTCTGTCCTTCTTTTCATTCCTCTAGTAAACTCTTTCCCCTCGAAGGTAAGAAAATTCAGCAAATTCCACTATTTCCCTGGAAGCAACAGGCAATCAAGTACCCCTGGAATTTATTTTACCCTCTGAAAGGGACCGATGTTGTTGACACTATCAGTTGCTTTCTGGATTGTCAGCCTCACCACATTCGTGTACCTTTTCCCACTTCTTTACTTCCTCTGAAATGAAAAATAAAACCTAACAACATCTAACCATGTAAGGGGTAACATCTTCCCTATTGGACTTGGCATTTTGTGAAACCTTTGAAAGATCATTGATTTCTGGACTGGTCCTAGTGTCTGACTGTTGGGCAGCTGCCCCAACAACCTCTATTGTCTTGAAGTTGTTGGCTGTGTTTCTATATTGGATGTAGGCTCCTGAACCCTGTGCAGAGTCCTCAGATTCAGGGCTAACAGGGAGGTGAGCACATTAATGCTCTCAGCAGACCCAAGCTCATATAGGACCTTGTAGATCATTCAGTTGAAACAGCCATGTTGATTAAATGTAAATTCTCAGCAAAAAGAGACAGGCGAGATTGGCTTTTGCCTTTGAGGGAGAGAAAACTTTTTTGATTTAACTCCTTTGATATTTTTTTTCTAATCCTCCCTTTTCTTACACCATGGCCTTTTTCCTCAAAAACATCGAAGAGACTTTCCTCATCTAGGGCTTGCCTTTTCTCTGGTCCCAGTCCTTAATCAGGGGCCAAACTAAGGGGTTTTGCTAGGCAGCTGTAGAGGACTATAAACACTAATCCTTAGAACAGTTCCTAAGCATACATAAAATATTTTCATGAGAAAATCCTAGTGAATTTGCCTTCAAATTTTACCCCAACTGTTTGCAACAACAACAACAAACCTCAATTTAGAACCTCCTAATATCCCAAGAAGCACCTTTCATTCAGGACTATGCCACAACTCCAAGGAATATATAGACTGAAATAAAATGTGTAACTTACTTGGTTCCACGATGAGTTTAGTGCCCTTTCCAAAGATGAGTTGTGCTGTGTAAGCACCACTTTAGGTGTCATTACAAAAAACCTTGCTACCTATTTGCCCCCGTCTAGTCCATCTGTTAGGAAGGGGTGGGTGGAGCAGAAGAGAAGGGGTAGCTGGAGTCACAGAACTTTGCAAGGGTTTTTGAGATCTAAGCATTGCATTTTGGAAGCTTGTTTGATGTGAGTTGTCTTCTGAGTGTTAACATTTAGGGAAATCTCTAAGTTTTCTAATATTATCTTCTCAACATGCCATCTCTTTCAGGTCCTGCTTAGAAATCTGGCAGTGATGCAAAGTAAACAAAAAAGGATCACCTTTTCACAGGGAGAAAGTAATTATTTAGGTTCTTCTAAGAATTGCCAAATGGCTAATTTCAGCTGAAACATAACTTTAAGGCTTAAGTAAATCACAAAAAACTATGCCTCAGTTAGAAGTGGAAGGACATGCTGGTGGGAGCAAAAGCCATTGATGTAAAAGACTTGGAGTCTGTAGAGAGGATCATAATATTAGATGATTATCATTTGTCTAAGTATTTACTACTTATAAACAGCTTGTGCCTACACTACCTCAACAAACATTATTGTAATCAACTCCATGAGGTGATATTATTAGGCTCGTCTTAGAGTGAGTCACTGAAGCTAAGAGTGGTTAAGATAGTGAGTGGCTGAGCTGGTCCTCACTTTCAGGTCTCCTCAGTTCAGTTTCCAGCCATTGAACCAGAGTAATCAATAATAGATTGAAAGGAGCCCCAGTGATCATTTGTCAAAACCTCTGTGGTCGCATAAGGGCTAATTAATGAATGCATAGGGAGAGTTTTGACTCCTTTTCCAGTGCCTTTAAAAAATGATAGCACAGAATTTCCACTGGTATTTATACCATTGGACTTCCTTATTTTTCCTCATTGTTCCTAAGAATTGGTCTGAATGATAATGAGGATCATAGTGTCCTAAAGCTGGAAGACACATTGGAAATCATTTGGTCTAGTTTGAGGGAAACTAGAGTTCAGTGAAGTTAAGTCACAGAGCTTGTCAGCCAAAGAGAAGGATTAGTAGTTGGTCTTAGAATTCTTGGTTTAACATGCTCATGACTACACCTCACATTTACTAGATGTACTGTAGTACAGGTCTGGTTATGTTCTAGATCTGTAAATGGCAAAAGTTAGAGTATTAAGTAAGCTGGTTCTCTAAAGTTAGTTAAGTAGAGGGAAGACAAAGACTCCCGAGGAAGGATAGTGGATGAAAAAGATCCACTGTAGCACACTCCCCTCCCCCATCCTAAATTTTATTAGATACCAGTCCCTTGCTAAATTACATGCTGGAAGGATTTCTCAACATCCTGAAAAGTATTTCCGAAGCTGGTAACATGGGAAAATATCTAACAAAGATAATTACCAAATATAGTGGTCATAGTAAGGGAAAAAAAGTCAGTTACTTACTTGGTTGTACTTTCAAATGGGTTCCTTTGCCAAAGATCAGTACTCACAGCTGATAAACCTAAGCTAAAAACTGCCTCACTTCCCCATATGTCAACCCTGGCCCCACTAACCAAGTCATGTGGTAGACACTGGGTGGGATTTTCTATCTCATCTGGCTTAACCTTTTTTTTTTTTTTTTTTTTTTTAATTATTCTTATTGAAATTATTCTTATTGGCTTAATTTCTTTTCTCCTAAGTCTTGGGGGCTGTCCTTCAGGACAAAACAGGAGGTGATTATTGTGTCAAATAGAAATCTAAGCTTTTGTCATGTTTCATTGCAAATCTGTGCTCTGAATGGGAGAGACAAGAAAGGAGTCTTTTAGTTTGATCAGGAGCAAAGAAAGGCGGCGCATTGGCCATAGAGTTGTGGTTCTCAATCTTTGGGCTATACTTAGGTGGGGCCAAGGTCTAGTGAGTTATGCACCCCATTCATTTCTACTTTTTAAGGGAATTTCATTTTGTATTCAGCCAGAGCTTTGCATCATGGCCAAGCATTGTGCAGCAGCCAGACTTCTTAGCATAAAGTAGAATTAGACTTTTCAGTAAATTTTAATAACATATTCATGAATATAAAATTTCAGCAAGTTTTAATAACATACTCACACTTAAAAGTAACAATTAAATTAACCTATGTCATATACAAACGAGTCTATGAGATTGCCTGTATGTCCCTCTAAAACTAGAGAAAGAATATGCATTTTGAGATCAGTTTATAGCCCATAAAGGACTACAGATCATACTTTGAGAATCATCACAATGGAGAGTGGTTCTCAGTTGTGGTGAAGAAAGATGTCAGAAAACCTGAAACCTAGTTAGACTCTGTCCCTTACTAAGTGTGTGATTTGGCCAAGTTCCTTAAGTTCACTGAGCTTCATTTGCCTTCTTTATAAAACAAGGGTGATACCTTCTGTATTGGGAGATTGTAAGATTAAATGAAAGGGTGTAAAGCATTCACTAAAATAGAAAGCCTAGGTGTAATTATTAGAATGTGTATTAGGGTTAGATGCAGAGATTGCATTTATTTGAAGGATGTAATTTCACTAAGCTCAGAGCTCCCAGGGGCCGTCCTGTAGGGCAAAGTTCCTGAGAGAGGACAGAATCTTCATTTTCAGTGTTTGAGATGAGAGTGTCCATTTTTTAGGGCTGTGGGTGAGGACTGGAATCCAGTTTTCTGTCTCCCTTGGTCTTCCTCTAGGTCAGGTGTGACCTCTATTCCATTCTCTATGAGCCAAACTCCTTACAGTAGTCTACAAGCCACCCTCTCCCTACTTCCTTTATCAACTTGACCTCCTTTCAAATCCTCTCCCTGTTAATCACTTTCCTCCAGCCACATGGGACTCCTTACTATCCTTCACACACTGCAGGCTGCACTTGCGTTCCCTCTGCCTGGAGTTGCTCTTCTTCCAGAAATCTGCATGGCCACTCTGTCACCTACTCAGGTCTCTGCTCAAATATCACCTTTCCGAAGAGGCCTCTGCAATTCCTTTGTTAAAAATTGCACACTGTTCCCGCCCACCCTTTATTCCTCTTCCTTGCTTTATTTTCCTTTACAGGGCTTACTACCACCTAAAATACTATATATTTTATTCATTTATTTTGTTTACCATCTGCCTTTTACCATTAGAATAATAGCTCCTATCACGCACAAATTTCTGTCTGTTCTGTTCACGTCGATTCCCCCAGCACCTAGAAGACTGCCCGGCATCTAGGGACAGTGACTAGTCACAGGTTGTAGAGCTAGAGCTCAGGCTTGGGTCTGCAGGCTCTCAGCTTGCTTTCATTTCTATTTCCTTTGCCTTACACCACAGCTGACTTGTCCTCTCATCCATCCATCCATTCATTCATTCAACAAACATTTATTTAGTGCCTTCAGTGTGTTTGTGAACAAGTCACAGTCCTTGTCCTCATGGAACAAGGAAAACAGAAGATAAATGATCATAAAAACTTTCAGGTGGAGATGAACATTATAAAAAGTGCAGCAGGATAAGGGGACTGCAGAATGTTAGGGGATGCTTGAGAAAGACCTCGCTTGAGGTGACATTTGAATACAGATCTGGAGAAGGAGAAGGAGAAAGCTGTGTGAATCCATGGGAGAAAATGGCTCCAGGCAGAAGCTCCATCCTGGGAGACCCATTGTGTGTGAGAGGGAATGCCAAAGATGGGAACTGGAATTTTAGAAATGAATTGATGAGCCAAAGAAAACAATGAGCTGGTGCATCCCACCATCCTTTGAAAGGAAAAGTTGAGGGCCATTCAGAGAGGGCAGGATCCAGAATATCTTTGAATGGAATCAGATGCCAATTCTGACTTTGCAAAGCTATGTGATCTTGGGGGACCCCTTCTAATTAGTAAAAATGCAGGTAATAGTATCTGGTTCTGTATGATTATTGTGAGAATTGAATAAAAGGCCATTCATTCAGTGGCTAGAGTTAGTCGGCTCTCAAAAGTGGTAGTTGATATGATGATAACATATAATAACCCATACTAATTTAAGTCCATCTAATGGCCCATTTCATGAAGATGTTCCTAATGACTAACACCCTTTTCTAAGCTCCTGTCGTTGTCATGGTCCTTAGCACACATTTATATTGTGGTATTTATTCCATGGTGTGTTGCCTTGTTCTCTGGTTCTGTTTTATGAAGTTAAATGGTATCCTCACGTTTTCTCTATCCAGAGGGCTAAAACGGTGTGGTGGATTTGGGGCTGTGGGTTTGTGTGGACCTGTTCTGTTAGTGTGGTGCTCTCTGGCAGCTGCAAGTAAAAACTTGAAAGAAGCATCAAAAGGAAGTAGGCTTCTGTGAAGATAAAGGCCCTGGGTTTGCACTGATGCCTCTTTAATCCAATATTAGTTGGCTAAAAAAGAAGGCACTATTTAAATATATTCTGGGTCCTGCTCTGTCTGGATGCCCCTCATCTTCATTTCAAAGGATGGTGGGATGCACCAGTTCAGTGTTTCCCACACTTCAATTAATCACATCTCCTTTTTTTTTTTTTATCACACGCATCTATTATATAATTTAATAGTTTTAATTTACTCACTTTTTAACATCAAATATAATTAAAAGGAAACTAAGTCCTGTGAGTTTAATAACCTAGTTGCACTATTTTGATTCCCATTAAAAGACAGTGCAATTAAAATTAAAAGAAAGTCTATCTATGTACCATCTGAAACCATGTGACATACATGCACACTTAGGAAACACTGGATCAAGTGAGTCAGTAAACAGAAGAACATAAATCCAGTCAGAAGGTCTTGATAAAAAAGGGAGATGAAGGAAATTAGTCACTAACTTTGCTGGGAGTGTGGATCACATTATTATTTCAGTGACTTTACGTTATTAAAGTCAATGAGATCTAAAAGCAAGGGCCTGAATTAGTTGAATTTTCAAAATATTAAAAAAAACCCCCGAGTTTCTGTGCTCTGATTCTGCTAGCTCAGCTTTGGATTTTTTTCTCTTTTTGGATACAAAGCTCCTTCCCCATAGTGTATGACATCTGGGAACATGTAGCCTGAACTTCCTCTTTTTCCTCCC